TGTGCCATCACCTGGGTTCGCTGAGTCGTCATGTCTCGACGGGATGATCGTGTCATGCTCAATTCGACATTTGGAAACGAGAGATGGGCCTTCCCGCGCTACTTTGAGTACGACATCGTGCGCGGCCCTGGGAACTCAAGAGTGGAATGGATTCGTGTTTACACACCGGGCATGTGGCAGCCTGTGGCAGAATCCACCTTAGGCCCAGCTCCGGACCACGCGTCCATATACCGTGAATGGCGCAGAGTCTACCACTTTGACGTGTGTTGGCCTCGTGACAGCACAGGAGGCACCACTGCGGATGCCCTCGAAATGCCTGTCTGCTACGTGTTCTTTTACAAGTGGCAATATCCAGATTGGCACACGCGGGGATACCAACGAGTTGGTGACCCACGTGCAAACATTGGATCGCCAGATCTCGTGTACGCTGGCTTGTCGTCCTCGTCAACGTCTTCGGTTCCGGATGGCGCTTGACGTGAACCTTCTTCCCCACCGAGCTACGATCCTAATTTTGACTGGGACGAGTGTACGCCCCTCTTGGAGGGGCGTGTGTGTGCGGAGTGTCAGATTTACCCTGACACCACCTTTCTCGACAAGATCACGTTTGAGGACCCCACGGAGTATATTCTGCTGGTATCACAGGACCTCTCCGGTTTCTTCGCATCCATACCCACTGAACGTTTTCATCAAGCTCTGCAGGTTTTACTTCACCGCTATGGTAGGTCTACGCAACAGATGAGTTTGGACCGTGGTACAAGATGGTGCTTTCATGTCTTCTTGCTTGCATGTGTGTTTGTTTGTTGCGCATCGTGACTGTTTCCTTGCTAGCTGGATCGGAACCTGTGGCGCGCCCTATCGTTCACTTCGACATGGATACAGATGAGGCAACTCAGACGTCGGCCCGGACTGACATCCCTTCACAAGCGGTTTCGGCGATGACTACATCCTGATCTACATCGTCAACTGCGGTTAGACGTCCCAGGTCAGCTTTCAGTTCAGGAGCTAGTACAGCAGCTTTGGGACGCTCTATCGCATGAGGACCCCACGGAATATATACAGCTGGTATCACAGGACCTCTCCGGTTTCTTCACATCCATACCCACTGAACGTTTTCATCAAGCTCTGCAGGTTTTACTTCACCGCTATGGTAGGTCTACGCAACAGATGAGTTTGGACCGTGGTACAAAATGGTGCTTTCATGTCTTCTTGCTTGCATGTGTGTTTGTTTGTTGCGCATCGTGACTGTTTCCTTGCTAGCTGGATCGGAACCTGTGGCGCGCCCTATCGTTCACTTCGACAGACTGGAAAGCTCAGCTTGGAACCTGGTTGCAGCGTTGGGTGGCATCTCGCCGTGACCTCTTTCCTTCCTTATTTCTTCCGAAGATCCGGGTTGTGGAAACTCGCAGTGCCACTTTGGGAGACCGGATCTACAACTACCGCCAGTGGCAGCGAAGATGGACTCCGGATACGTCGTTCCCGTGTCGCTGCATTGACATGGACGACCGCACCACTTCTCGCGCACATTCCCATGCGGTGATTTTGGATGAGTTTTCACGCATCAACGCTGACATTGACTCTGACATCATGGCAGCATCCATGAAGGATCAGTAGTTTGGTGATGTCAGCAAACTTCAACAACGTTTTGACACGCAGCTTCGTAAGCTGGCTCGCCGATGGCATGTGCGAAGATCCAGCTTCTCTACTGACTATATCAACCTGTTCAGACGGAGTTGTTTGCAGAACATCGCTCCAATGTCCAAGACCGTGCTCACTGGACCTCCGCGTCATTGCAACGCACCGCTCGCTCCCTGTCATCGTGGGTTGTAATTCCAGCGGATCACTTCCCTTCGCGTGCTCATGTGATCTGCCCATCGTTGTTTTCCATGCTGATGCACAAGACCTTTTGCACAGGTGAAGTCTTTGCACTGTGCCGTGAGTCTGCGGCATCTTTTCGCGCCGAAGTTGCCACCACGGTACCTGCTCGACTACAACACCGCTATGCGTGGGGACTTCGACTTCATGCACCTTTGCCCACGGCTCGCATGCTTCCCAAACCGACCAAAGACTGGCTCAAAGCGGGACCAATCATTTCCTTCTTCCGCACATGGGCAGCACCCCTCCTCACGGTCTTCGGCGCCCTTATCTTTGAGCTCACCAAGGTCACCTTTCCAGACGTCCATGGCCAGCTTTGGGATGCTCTATCGCGTGAGGGCCCCACGGAATATATACAGCTGGTATCACAGGACCTCTCCGGCTTCTTCACATCCATACCCACTGAACGTTTTCATCAAGCTCTGCAGGTTTTACTTCACCGCTATGGTAGGTCTACGCAACAGATGAGTTTGGACCGTGGTACAAAATGGTGCTTTCATGTCTTCTTGCTTGCATGTGTGCTTGTTTGTTGTGCATCGCGACTGTTTCCTTGCTAGCTGGATCGGAACCTGAGTGTTCAAGTCATGATGGAACAAAATGTTCAGACGTTCATAACCTGGACCCATGG